CCCTAACCATTCGATGCATATATCATCTATTATGTGCTATCATAGTATTGCTTATAATATCATGTTAAGTTTTAGGAAACTACTCTTGTTTGATATGTCATTATCTTAAGCATTTGTGATATGGAATGATCAACCATCCATGCATGTATAATATCAATGCTTGATACCTTAGATTATCAATGCTATAGACCATTACTATGATTCATAGAGGCCCCAAATGTGATATCTTTACTTGTTTGTTGATTAGTCTAATCTCATTAAGAGAAATCGCACATGAGCTCATTCTAAATCCCTTTGCATGTGGCGAAAGCTTGATTAGGATGTCCTAAGTGGAATAGATACATTTACATGATAGAAGATGCATCGATGAATATCATTGTGGAGATTGAGATGTATGATCATCGATGATGAACTTTCTTATTAATTGCATATCATTCACTTATTTTGTTATTTAATTTATGTGTTACATTATGATGCATCTCCAAAACCATAATAGATAGGGAACTTCAACCCATTATGTCTTTGTTTGAGCATTAGATGATTGGTTGTTAGTAGTTATTATTGGAAAGCGTTGTGTAATATGACCCTAGACATATCTAGGAATTTTATACTTTTCATTGCATTAATATCACTACATACATGCACATTCTTGGAAGAAAGAAAATTATGTAAGAAGTCATCATCGGGACTTTGGCCACTATGAAATTGTCATCTTTGTTGATAATCTCACACACGTCATTATCAAACAATAGCTTGTAGTTCTCCAGCATCAGTTATGCCACGCTAATTAGATTGTGAGTTAGCTTTGGTACATACATAACATCTCGTATTAGAGTTTTGTTACCTTCTTTTGTGCATACAACAATAGTACCTTTTTTCTTCCACTTCTTGCTTCTGTCCATCTTATAATTTGAAATGGGACTGGTAGTTTTCATCAATGTCGGTGAAGGAATCCAGATCTCCATTCATATGATTACTGAAACCACCATCCACAATCCTAGTAAGTTGTGCATTTTGCGCACCCTTTAAGCATGAAAAGGCCACCTATTACTTTCCTCATTTTTTTGTGTTGCTTGACTCGTCTTCTTCTTAATGATTCTTGAACATGCAATGTCTCTGGTAGCGGTTCTGAATTATGCATTTGTTGCACTTGAATCTGTAGTCTTTTGTTGCATGACCTTCCTTTTTGAAAATTATGCAACTCGAGTCGGTGTTGCCTGATTTAGTTTTTGATGAGTTTGTCTGTTGTTTCCACTGTAATTGGATCTTCATCTTCCTCTCCTTCGCAATTTTCCCCCTCTCTAGCCTTGCACCCATTTGGCAGATTTACTTTCCGTCATGTTGAATTTTGTCTAGAAGGCTTATTCCAATTGTTGTTTGGTGAAGCGACTCATTCTTTACTCGTGTGCTACAAGTGAGCCTGTCAACTCAAATCATTGGTAACTTTGCCAAATCTTTGGTTTCTTTTATGACAATGACAACATGTTCGCACTTTGATGATAAGCTACAAAGAATTCTCTCCACGTTCTTCCTTTCTTCCCTGACTTCACTAGTGGCTTTGATCTGGTTGACTGTCTATGCCACACACGAATGTAAGTCCTTAATAGTGGCAGTTTTCTTCGGCATCAAGTTTTCAAACTCACGCCATAAATGTTAACGTCTAATAGAGATTGACTCCTCGGAAGCTTGAAATTTTTCGCGGAAGACATCTCCAAGCTTCTTTGGCCTTTCTTATGCCATAAATTATTTAGCATTCTCCTTGTACTCTTTTGTTTGCTCGCCTCCTCGCTTTTTGGATTCTTCTTCTTGTTATTGTGGATCTTCATAGCCTTCTCGGATGAGATCTCACATATCTTTAAAAATGAAGATAGGCCTTCATTTGGATAATCCAATACTCGTATAATTTTCCATCAAAACTACGAATTTGATATGAAGATGTGGCAAACATGGTGTTTATTGAACCTGCTGCCATGGCTATTTTTAGAAATATTGTCTAAGCAAGAAGTGGGAATTTTGAAAGGATAGTAGGGTATAAGCTCTTATACCAAAAAAATTTGGGTATGAGTCTAATGTTAGTATGATTTAGGACCAATCACAATGAAAATATTTGGGTTTTGCTCAATTTAGAAAACACTCAAAACAAATAGACTTACTTTTGGCTTATGCTTTTACACACTACAGAAGCAACAACACTTACACAATTGTGGGTTTATTTTTATTTTCTCTCTTACTCTTCCCCATGTCATGCACATTACATATATAATACTAAATGAAGGCTATAAAAAAAAATACAATGAGTAAGAGTAATGGAATAGGGTATGATGCATGTGATTGTTCAACCCTTGTTTTTTATCCATGCATTTACTCTTGTCTTCATCTTCTTTCTACAGATGAGATTCGAGACATGAAGATAAGCCTCCAAGCATTCTAGGTCTCATGCATAAATGTAAGCTCTATTGTTTGTTCTGACCATCTGTAAAGTTCAGTGAGCCTCCACACCACGCCATTTTCTGTTACCTTAAAGTTTATGTGGTGCAATGATTTTGATTAACATTACTTTGGAGTCCTCCTTCCATAATGCTAGCAGGCCCCTGCTCTTCTCACCGAACCCACACCTTTTCCTTTCTCCCAACCTAATTGATTCATTACCTCCTCTCATTCGTCTCTTACTTCTTTGTGACCAATAGGAAGACAAAATTGGGGCTTCTCATTGGAGTAGTCTCTCCAATTTTTTAACTGCGCGAGGTTCTCTAGCCTCGACAGTCATACTCAAAATACTCATTGATGTAGGCGACCATACTCTTTTGTAAGGTCCGCCTCTCCACCATCCTTCTTTTCTTGAGTTTTTTATAGAATTTTGCTAACTGGTGGGGTCAGCTCCCCCTCAGATACACTAGCTTCGGAAGTTATAGCTCAAAATACTCATTGAGCTAGACATCCCTGCTCTTTTTCAGGGTTATCCTCTCTGCCATCCTTCTTTTCTTGAGTTTTTTGGGAAATTTTACTATCTGGTGGGCTCAACTTCCCCGTCAGATACACCAACTTTGATTTTCTCACCACTGGATCCATGTCTTGTTCCTCATTAATCATCTCATTAAGTGATGAGCTACACACTTTATCGTCATGTTCCGTGATTCTTTTTTGCAATGTAAGTTGACTCTATGTGATTGAGGCACGCTGTTTCCTTTGTGTTTTGTCTTTCCGTTTCCAAGCTTTGTTTCTTTATTTCTAATCCTTGGATTGCTCCACAATTCCCATAGCAAAAGTGTTATTGTCAAAAAAGAAATGTGTCTTGAGTCCGTAAGTTTCCCAATTCCTCATATTGTCCATGTAGTCAGTACCACTTTTGGCTTTCTTTTCTTGTGTTGTCTTCTCCTTTAGCTTCTCCAAAGACCATTCCCCCTTCTCTTTTGCCTGATGATAGTTCCATATTTTCTCTGCATCCTTTCCAAGCTCTTGCATAGGTTTAACTTATGGGAAACAGGATGTGTTTCCCATATGCTCCATTTCTTTGGAAGTTCTTTAGCCCTCTTTCTTCTTCAACACATCCAGGTTATCTATATTCAAAGGTTCAGTCATAATTTGCCTCTTCCCGTGTGGTCTTTCTCGTCATATATTCTCGAAGGGTCGTTTGGATGTGGAAATTTGAAAACGTTGGAATTTGTCTGAATTTCCATGTTTTACAAAACCAAGGAATTGACTTGTGGAAATTGAAAAAAAAATCACGTTTGGATAGGGTTTAGTTTTGTGGGAATTGATGGTGTGGAATTTGGAAAAAGAAGTGAGAAAACGTGGTAATGTCAAATTACTAGGGGGAGGTGTAGTATTCTCAATTAGCATGAATGTGGTAATTGAAGCCAATTTCCATGGTCCAATTCCCATACCCTTTTTGCTCTCCCAAACGTAGGTTTTTAACCCAATTACTGTATTACATTTCCACATCCAAACGACCCTGCAATCAATTTTTGCTCTTAAAATCAGCCAAATCATCATGTTCCTCGGCTAACTTGGACCTCCATGGTTTGTTTTCCAATTATCCAAATCACATATTTAAGTCATACAGAGCGTACTCCACTACAGTTGGGTTGTTGCAATTGAGTTTGGGGTGTCTCAATAGCCAACAATTGAAACATATAAGAGGTAATTTCTCATATTTAATTTCAAAAGTTGCTATCTCCCCTTGAACCTTGAGTTTCAGCTCTGGTTTTATCGATGTTCTGACATATTCTCAGCCTCAGAATTTCATCCCAGATGCATCCGCTCTTGTTCCACCCATATTAGTTTACAAAATCTTTCTCCAGTCTTATGTGCCATCTCCATCATTCATAGTGCCACCGGGAGAATGTAAATCATGATCCATATATACATAGTGTGAAATTCTTCAGGTTTGACCAAAGTTTTCTATTGGTAAGCACATCATTAGGTAAGTGATTTAATCATGGCATGTGGAGCAGACACAAATAGGGCGAGCAATTATTAAGGAGTTGCACCAATCATGGGGATGGGTGCACCATAGTGGCGAACGATCATGCAAAGTCGTGTCGATCATGACAGACAGGTCGTACAATCATGCGAGCAACCATCAAGAGTCATGAAAACTATGGTAGGCGACCCGCACCAATCCTGGTAGGCGACCTGTTCCAATCGTTGCATGCTTATATTATGTGCTTAGTATTGTTTTTGTCTAGGGGAGAATGATTATACTTTGGCATTATGTTGCAATATGAGAGCTGAATTTCGATATCAACTAAATTAGATATTTTTGGTTTAACAAAAACTCTCTTGGTTGGAACTTTTTGAACGCTAGAGAACGGAGCTTTGATGGCCATGGTTTGAGAAAGCCTCAAGATTAAAAATTTCAGAAAGGGCATTGCTACACCCTGGTGCAGAAATCCTTCCTCTATGCCGCGGGTTTCATTGGAAACTTAACCGATTAGACAATTAGTGGAACGACTATTTTTCCAAGTGCTAGAGGGCCATCCTTCATTATGAGCACTTTGGACTGCAAAACAGAAACTAGGGAGAAATGGCAAAATGAACACATTCCAATTGGGCATCCACTTTCATGGATCAAGAATTCAGGGAGAATCAAAATGAAACTGCAGGAGAGCGCCTCCATCTCTTACAAAGGAAGGACGGACTTTTGGGCCAGTCTTTAGCCGTAAAAGGGGGGATAGAAAACCTTATTACAAATCGATACAAAACTCAATTCTCTTCATCTTTAGAAGTGCATTTTTGTTGTGTGAGGGCCTGAACTATAAGTCTATAGGCTAAACCAACAATGGCAGTGCATCTCATTGCTTCTTCATCAAGTTGCGGATCACATACGGAAGAATGCCTCCATGGTCGAAATAAGCCAATTCCACCTGTAGCAACACCATTCAGAACGATATAAAACAGATTCGAGCAACGAACGCCAAAGAGAAAAGAGAGATGGAAGGGGAGCGCATAATTTTTACCTCTGTATCGAATCGGACTGTGCAGGTAAATGATTTCCCATTGTCGGTCGTGACAGTTACGTCTTGGCCAGGTCTGATGTCGCTGATGCTGCTCGGAAGGTCAATGGTGTACCGTTCGTGACCAGTCAAGCCCAGGCTGTCTGCATCCTCACCGGCCTTGAAACAGAGTGGGATGATCCCCATTCCGACCAAGTTGCTGCGATGGATTCTCTCGAAGCTCTTTGCAATCACTGCTTTCACTCCCTGCGTTCAAATGGGCGGATTGGCATTAAGGTCTTCCAACTCAAACTGAAGTAATTGGGAATAAAATCGCTCGAAATAGTTCTAGAGGACAAACCAGTAGCATTGGACCCTTAGCAGCCCAATCTCTGGAGCTTCCACTTCCATACTCAGCTCCGGCAAGAATGATGGTGTCCTGTCCTTCTTTCTTGTATTTCTGCAATCGTAGAGTTAAGCGAAGGAACAAATTGTTTAATGCCAGACAGATGGAATACAACTTCAACGTCTTTTCAAGGGCAACCAATCTACTTACGCTTGCAGCATCGAACACATAAAGCTTCTCTCCAGTGGGAATGTGGACCGTCTTAGGGCCAACTTCGCCCTTCAGAAGCTTGTTGACAATGCGGATATTAGCAAAAGTTCCCCTAGCCATGATTTCATCATTGCCACGTCGACTACCGTAGGAGTTGAAGTCCTTGCGGTCCACTCCATGGTCAAGGAGGAACTTGGCAGCAGGGCTGTCCTTGTGGATGCTTCCAGCTGGCGAGATGTGATCAGTGGTGATGCTGTCGCCAAAATTGAGAAGGCAGTAGGCATCTTTCACCCCGTGAGCACCAGGAGGGTCAAGAGTCATGCTCTTGAAGTAAGGAGGGTCATGAATATAGGTGGAGTTCGGGTCCCATGAGTAAGAGCTTCCAGTTGGTACTGCGAGCTGATTCCACATGGGGTTGCCCTTTGTGATGGACTGGTACGTACTTTTGAACATCTCAGGCAACACGCTGGATTGAACAGCCTACAGACAGCAGCGTTCAAAACAGCCATCGAAATTATTAACATCTTGCCTGGTAATAAATACTAACTAGAGACCAATAAGAGTCGGTAGCTTTACCTGTGCAACTTCTTCTGTAGATGGCCAGATATCCCTGAAATAAACATCCTTTCCGTCCTTGCCTTTTCCAATGGGCTCTTTTTCGAAGTCAATATCGACCTGATAATAGAACAGACGTGAAATAAATGGGTGTTTGACCATTGACTTGGAGAAAGATAATGGTTTGAGGAAAAATCTGAAAATAAGAGAAGGAACATACAGTGCCAGCAAGGGCGTATGCAACTACTAGTGGCGGTGAAGCAAGGTAGTTTGCTCTTGTCAATGCATGAACACGACCTTCGAAGTTTCGGTTACCGGAAAGCACAGCTGAGGCAACAATGTCTGAAGACAAGAGACATTACCATGAGCAGAGAATTAGAGCAAAGGCAGACAGATAGATTTGTTAACTTGATATGCTAGGACTCGTGGAATAAAAATTACCATTTTCTGTAATAGCAGCACCAACAGATTCATCAATTTCTCCAGAGTTACCAATGCATGTTGTGCAGCCATAACCAACAATGTTGAAGCCCTGATGGTTCAAATACTCTTGCAAACCACTGCATGTGTGACAACATGTATAACTCATTAGTGTCTATCCCGACTCATACATACCAACCGCTTGGTAAGCACTCTATCCCTTGTCAACATCAACAAAAATATCTCACCTCTCAAGCAAATACTTTGTAACCACCCCAGAACCTGGAGCAAGACTTGTCTTTACCCATGGCTTGACCTGGCGAACAGGAATTTAGAATGAGATTACAGCATTGAGGCATTCAAATTGGATTTTTTTTCAGCTTCTGAAGAAATATGGCACATTCTCGTATAAAATAAAGGTCTAGACAATAGCCATCCCATAATATTTATGCAAGATATTCACAGTACTTACCTTCAAGCCAAGTTCGTGGGCCTTTTTGGCAACGAGACCAGCTCCAAGCATGACACTTGGATTAGAGGTATTGGTACAGCTGGTGATTGCAGCAATCACAACACTGCCGTGCTTAAGCTCTGCTGGTTGCCCGTGAAATGAAAACTTAGCCACTTTGCCTTGGGATTCTTTAGGTATGGCAAAACCCTACAGCAGAAAAGGTTTCAGTAGAGAAGGTATTCAGGAAAGAACTATAGAATAATAATGTGCTATGGGCAACACTAATCTTAAACTTTGGAGAAAGTGAACTTGTGACAGGAATGATTAATATAATACCTACAGAACTATAAACCGATCAGCTGTCTGTCTTGTGAAGTCTAAAGAAACTAGGTTGTAACTAACCTTGAATCCAACTTTGTTATCAAGACATGAATGCCAGTCTGACTTCATCTCTCTAAGAGGCACGCGATCATGAGGTCTGGAGAGAACAGAAAACGATGTCATTGCCTGCAATTCAACTCAACCAAAATTGTGAACTAGCATTTTTTAGAGGAGTTTAGGTTAAAATGCACACCTCTTGGGTCCAGAAATACAGGGCTCAACCTCCGAAAGGTCTAGTTGCAGGTACGATGAATACACTCTTTCTAGTTGCGGCTGAATTCATTTATACAATTGATGAAAAAATTAGTAGTTGCAAAAACTTCACTGCTTCAATTATAAAAAAAAAATTATAAAATGACAATTCAATTAGTCGAGAAACTACCTCATTGTAGTCAACAAACATCTTATTTGCCCGCAGATATGCTTCAATCATTGATACCTAAAGTAAAAACAAAAAGCGAGACAAACAGGTGTCAATATATTCTGAGATTGCTATATTGTTCGAGCAAAATAACACATAAAACACATCCATATAGACAAAGAGGAAGAAAATTGACACACTTACAGTTTCATCACTCCTCCCAGTCAGTTTAAGATACTTTAGAGTGACATGATCTACAGGGAAGAACCCCATAGTTGCACCATACTCAGGAGACATGTTGGCTATGGTTGCTCTATCAGCTAATGACAGCTCACTCATTCCTCCACCTGTTGCCGTGGAGAAGCATCAGACACCAAGTACAAAACCAAGGTAATTGAATAAATAATACAATTGAAGTTGAAGACAAAAGTACCATAGAACTCGACGAATTTTCCTACAACTCCATGCTTCCTCAGCATTTGAGTTACAGTTAAGACCAAGTCAGTGGCAGTCACACCATTGCGCAGCTTTCCAGACAACTTGAATCCAACAACACCAGGTAACACCATGCTCATGGGCTGTCATTGTGGAGGAGCACATAATATCAGAACAAAGTTGTAAAGACATGCACCAACATGTCTAAGGTAGCAAGAGCAGCTCAGGTTAACAGACATAAGGGAACTAATCACTTTTCCAGTAATCAAATCTGGTAAGCAGAGAACAATCCACAAAGAGACAGATTTACAGAAGACTTCAGATACACAAAGGATCCTCCGAGATGATACAATCTATGATGCCATATAGTAAAATAAGTATATGTTATAAACATTGTAAAATCTCACCTAGCATAAGAACCCATAAAAAAGTAGATGTAAGTAACACTACTTGGGGGTAATGTACCCTGACGATGAGCACATAAATCTAACCAACTCATACACATTTTATCAAATTCAAAGGTAATAAATGTTAGGGCACGCACTACTTTTGGCCAAAGTACATTGAGAACAACACAGCTACGAGATAAAAGAATTGGAAAGCAAAACTTAAATCAAGATTCACTACACATAACCAAGTTGTCCATAAATTATTTACCTGACCCAGCATGGCAGCCTCAGCTTCAATGCCTCCGACACCCCACCCAGCAACTCCCAATCCGTCAATCATGGTAGTGTGGGAATCAGTTCCAACCACACTATCAGGATACATGACCCCATCCTTGTTGAACACAACTCGTCCAAGATACTCGAGATTGACCTGTAAGTATGGCACACCAGTAAAACCACCAATAGTTATTCCTCAAAAAATATATATATATAGCCCCCCACCCCCACCAAACTTTAAAATGCCAAATTCAAGGTTCTTCATTTCACCAAATCATTAGGCCAAACAAAAAGGTGAAGCAAATATTGATTACGACAATAGTGAGCCTGCTCCATAAGTAGGAATACTAGTTCAAGCATACAATGTATCTTGGGAAAACTTAAACAATTACTACGGCACTCCAAAGTATACCTGATGCACAATACCGGAACCAGGAGGAACTACAAGCATATTATCGAAAGCAGTAGAACCCCATTTAAGGAACGCAAATCTCTCCTTGTTCCTCTGAAATTCAAGTTCCATGTTAGCCTGTACGGCGTTTTCTGATCTAGTCACGTCAACTTGAACTGAATGATCAATTACAAGATCAACGGGGACCTGCACACAGCAGCAGCATCACAGCATGTCAAATGATAAACAAGAATGTACCAGATGCATATAGCAGCCATCACTCCATGAATGGGAACTTAAGACTCGTATGTAGATTGCTTGAAATGGACCATGCACTCTTAGTCATCAAATTGAGCACAGGAAGTAAACTTAAAAGGGAGACAAATAAACAAGAGATTTACACAGACCAAGTGCTTACTACCCTTCCAGCAGAAGTAACATTAGACTGCTAACCCGAAGACTGAAACAATGAGACACATCTGGAACACTAGTACATTGCTTCATATGGATTGCACATACCAAAGGATTAATCTTGCTGGGATCACTGCCAAGGTTGGCCATTGCATCACGCATAGAAGCTAGGTCGACAACAGCTGGTACTCCAGTAAAATCCTGCAAGCAAAGAAGATAGGTGAAGACAAAAAAAAAAAGTGTTTTCAATTCCGAAAACTTCTTAGCTATGTTCCTGAAATACCTGCAACAGAACACGAGCAGGCTTGAAGGGGATCTCCACTTGTTTGGGGGAGGATTTTTCCCAATCAGCGATCTTCTCAACATCTTCTTTGGTGACTTGGAAGTTATCGCAGTTACGGATGGCAGATTCCAAGAGAATTCTAATGGAATAGGGAAGCTTTTCTGTTGAAGAGCCACCAACATAGTACATATTACAATTAGTATACACTGGACAAAATTCTATCGTGAAACAATGCCTGACCAAAACTCAAAAAGACTGCGTTAGAGAAACAAAATACATGGTCATTAAGATAGGGAGGTGAAGAACAGGGCCAGCACTTCCTAGAAAATTAACTCTGAGCGATCGAATATGTATACAACGAATTATGAAAATGCCACCCGCATGATAAGGGGAAACCTGGCAGAACGAATTTACATGGCATAACTTCACATGAGGTTCAAGAGACTTACCAATACGGGGATCATTCAGAGCAGGCAGACTGTAGAACTTCCCGAATTCCCCGCCCCCTGGCTTGGGTAGGGAAGTGAAAATTTCCTTGAAAGGATGCTCGGTAGCTGCAATCATCAATAAAAAGAAGAAGCGCATAAAATATCAACGCCAGACGTCCACGATTGACCTACTGTAATTTCATAAAATTGCAGGAAGTACCACAATGATTGCCTCAACAGAACGATGTACAGAGTTGATCATTGCAAGTTTTACAGATTGGTCATCAATTACTATTTAATATGATGCACATCACCGGCAGCTAACGCTGAAAACGACATTAGATACAGAGAGGACACAAAATAGTGAAAATGCTCGCCTACTTTGATTGCCAATTAAAGGTTGATCATAGACTCGATGATTAGATATGATCCGACCAGAATTCAGAACCGAACGAAACAAACAAAGAAATGTACATAAACGAGATTAGAATTTGCTAGTTGATCAAAAGCACTACAACGTTGACCCGATGAAAAGTCAAATAGTCTTATCAGGCTCCATTTCCAGCTCGTCACTATCGCTTATTCAACAAAAAATAATAAAATAATCAAGGAATTGGCAGGAACTGTTACCCATGGATGCGATCTTCCTCTGGAACTGCTCAATCGCCGGGATAGCACCCGCTCTAGCGTACGCACTCGGACTACCGCCGCGTGAAGACAGCCAATTGACACCGTGGCTCCACCGCGGGAGGGATCGGACGGCGGAGTAGAAACTCAGAGATCGCTGCTGCTGGTGCCGGTAGCTGCCATTCAAGGAAGAAGCCGGGGACAATTTCGGTGCCGCCGCAGGCGACGGAGACGCGAGAGCGGGAGAAGAGGACGAGGGAGACAGCGAAGAGACGTTTCTAGCCCTGGACGCTCTTCGGAGGAGTGAAGAAGCCGCCGAGGCAGAACCGTTTATATACATGACGTCGATCGCTCGCGGCGCATACAACGAGAGGAAGCGGACAAAATAGCGAAACGGATGATTACGGCAGCAGGAGTGGGGAGAAGATAAGATCTGAATCAAAATTGATGATCGGTGGCGGTGGAGATAAGATAGAGGGCGGAGGGAAGTGGAGCAGAGAAGAGAAGAACAGAGGCGTGTGGAGAGCGGACGGTAACCTAGGGCTGCGTGCCGCGCTGGAGTAAAAATACTGGTTTTGCAGACCCTTCTTGCTTGCCGAAATTTTGGAAGGGTCGGAGAATGGTTGGATCAAGGATGGGGCGGTGATCCGCTGGGGTCGGATGCAGAAGGGGAGCACGAAACGGTTGGGCCGAATCTGAGACTGAGATGATGAAGCAAACCCTTTATAATAGACCGGTTAAACATATCAACCATCAGGTCGAACCAAGATGGTTCGGGCGGAGGGTGAGAATGGTTGAGCTTACGGTATGAACGGAGGCAGCGGATAGGTGGGGGATATATTTTGGGGAAGTTTCGCAAGTGGCGTCGCTGTGTTTATTCGCATAGATCTGGGCGCTTTTTGATGCTATTGCGAATTTTTAGGTGCTGACCGATTGGTTCGTAGCCACGTGGTCTGAGGAGAAAGAGGAAAATTGCAAATTGGCTTTTGTATTTTCTTTTTAGCATTCGGACCTGTAACCAAATTGGCTTTTCGACGTCGTGGAAGGAAGAATTTTATTGCGTTTAATAATCTATTTCTGTTTTTTGGTTTGTTTTGGGTGGAATTTAGAAGGATTTTTTTTATAATGAATTTAGAAGGATTAAACAGTCGAAATGGAACATTCTCTGTCCGATTAAAGAAGAGTCCTCCAACTCTATCCGGCTATCCCATTTCATAATAATAAAAGAAAAAGGAATCCGAAACCTCTAGTGAATGTTACAATAATTAGTTATGGACTTATGTGATAATCATATCGCAAAATTTAACTTTTTCTGTCTCTATTCCCATTATTATACAATTATTATCATACTGTCATTTCTAAGAAAAATATATGATAATGTTGGGAGAAGGATTCCTCACTTTAGATATCTATGAGCTCGTTTGGTTTTGTTGATTGTTTGGTTGGGTAGTTACAATGCATGTATTGTCTATAATACATTATTTATTTGAATTTTTTGCACAAACAATACATGCATTGTTTACTTGAGGTGATGGAAACTATTACTCAAAATGTGTGATAGTCTCTACTAAAATTTGAGATTGTTGAGATAGTTCTAAGGAGATTGTTAGGTTTATTTTTTGTTGTCATAAAAACAAGAACAAAAGTGATTTTCCCACAAAAAGTAATATAACTTGTTGATTACTGGGTCATTTGATTTTGGTGATAGTTAAATTAATGCATTGTTATCAATACATGAATAATAATATACCTGTATACAAGAAAATTGGTGTATTGTAGTTTACATTGTTTGGTTTATGTGATAGTTATTGTAGTATTAAAATAAGTTATATTACTTGGGTGAAATGTCACTTTTGCCCTTTGTTTTTTATATAAGAAAGCAACACACATAAAAAGGTAGGGACATAGTTGAAAGAAAAAAGACTCAACAATCTCAATCAAACAATCTCACAAAAACTTGAGAATTAACTATCACTCATTTTTCCCTATTGGGCCGGGTCATTTCGGGACAAGTGGATCATTTATGTTGAAGAGGATGAGCTTCAAGAGAATGACTCGGAGTTCTTGAGTGATCGTTTGTGTCATTTCAAGTAAACAATGCATGTATTGTTTGTGCAGAAATTTCAAAAAGACAATGCATTGTAGACAATACATGCATTGTAACTATCTCAACCAAACATTTATCAAAACCAAACTACCGAACTATTACCAAAACCAAACAATGCAAAGTAAATTACATCATTTTCCTTAATTGCATGTATATTACAATACATGATTTAAAAATCACTAAAACCAAACGACCCTATATAGATAATCTATTTCACTTTCCTTTTTTTTTTCCAACTGGATTGTTTTTTCTGATTCGATAATGGCAGTCTTTCCCTAAAATTATGTGGCCACTTTTATGGAGATACCATGTTTATGGGTTCGCCTACAATGTTCATATAAATCAGTGATGGTTTGGCAAATGAGAGTCTGAATTTAGATACTCTTAACAAATTTAGAGATTTTTCATTTTTGAAATTTTTTGAATATGATCCTGAAAAATTCATTGTTTGATGATTGTGATTAGTGAAAATAAAGATTCTAAATTAAACAAAAGACACATTTTCCTAAACAAATAATGAGGCAAAACAAGTATAAAATCTTAAACTATTTTCTTGGTTGGCTGAATTCTTCTTCTTGTTGCTTGCTTTAACTCTCCATTCTTTATCTTGTTCTCTTCTTCAATTCAATAAGAGAAGTATGAAATAAGTGTAAAACTACCGCATAATATTGTTTACAAATAAAGCTATTAACTTTGAAATGCTTTCATTTGAAGTCATTAAAATTCTCTAGGACAAGTACAGATTTACTTAGTAGGATTTTGTTCAGTTTCAACCAAGAAACCGAGACGAGTTTGAAAACTCGACGAATGGTTTCTCCTAATCGACGAGAAGTCTTTTGTAATACACGATTTTTCTCATTGTGAGCTATTGTGTATAAGAAGATGTCAACCATCCCATATATTTTCATGTGGTAACTATGGTGTAGCCCACCCTCATCTATAAGAAAATTACAAAGGTTTTGAAAAGCTCTGCAATTCGTCCTAATGAGCATAGTGTTTGAGGTATCGCCACGGAGGTTACAACACTTATAAAAGAGTTCCTAGCATTGTGGCACGCAATTGGTGTCTCCCCATTAGTAGCATTTGATGTACTTAGCAAAATTCTCTAACTTTCTAGTGCCTCAAACAATGTGATTTTTAACTTTAATTGTTCGTTATCAAAGGTATTGAATTAACGTTCTTAGTGCGTTGTGACCTTTTGGGTTAACATTAACAATTAGAAAAGCCTGATAATCATCAATGACCACAAAACAAGGCTATTACTTTTCTATGTGATTCTAAACTTCATGCCAACAGTTGGTGAGCCTCTAGGAAATGACTAATGAATAGAAGGAAAAGATCCATAGGCTTATTGGACTTAGCACACTACCAAACAAGACAAAAGCAAGAACACATTAAACATCTCTCAATCTCTTATGATGGATGGTATCCCTTGAGAAATTAAGTGTTGCAGAAAGAATAAGGGAAAATTGTTGGGAAAATAAAAGTTTTTCCTTTATGATCCCATCAATCAAAAGGTAAAAGACTTGGTTAAATTTCTCTGATGTGTCTTACTTGCCATAGTTGTGAAAGTATAATCGCAGGGTCTCCTAAATCAAAGAAATATCAAAAGAAGAATCTCTCAAATGAAGAGAAGATTGCATTAAGAGATTATAAATAGAAGGAAGCAACAAGACAAGTCTCACAAACTATGACAGAGAAATCCTGCATAAAAGAAAGATCAAACACTCTGTGATTAGCAATAGGCGGAAGAAGTGACAGAGGTTCATTATATGTATTGCTTGAGTGATTGTGAGTTTGCGTAGTTTCTCTCTTTCGCGTGAGTGCTTGTGAGGAAGAGAGAAAGGAGTATATTGCTCTATTCTTATCAGTTTTCAAGGATATGAGTTCCACTCAAAGGAACTCAACTTGGAGTTAGATTGGAATAAGACAAAAATCTAGACATTAAGTCTCAAAGGGTAAGCCACCTTTTGAGCCGAGATGTAAAGCCATAGGTCGAAATCAGTTACCAAAAGATCTCGCGTACATGTGTCTCTCCCTACTCTTCTCTATTGTGTGTTGGCTTCTTAACAGTAACAATACCTTGAAGGTTGAAGACGACTCGATAAAGGCCAAAGCCCATCTCGTGATATACTTGGGCTCTAGCAATGAGTCAAGCACAACACTCTAGTCTAGACGACCAGTTCTTTATTACTCGTGTTTATTTATCTTATTTTATATGATTATTTGTGTGCAACACGTGTTCTACAAGAAGTACAACCACAATAACATGATAATAGAAAACTGAAACATGCTTAGTTGATCATTTTGAAAAATTTATGAAAGTTGACAACAAGAAACAGAAACATATTTAGACGTACTTCTTTAGACTCTATTTAGTATCAATGTTGAGACTAAGACAAAAGTGGGAAAGTAATGAAAGTAACAATGTGACATGACGAGTTATGAGAATATTGAGAGAAAAATATAGGCAAAATACACTTCCATAGCCACAACTTACACGTTTGTAAAAAATATATCCACAACATCCATAATACACAAAATAGCCACTTCCGTCCATCCTTTTAACGGCGTCACTTAACGTTATGACTAGACAAACGAAAAATGTTGAGTTGGCAATATAGTGTCCCCACCAATCCAAGTGGATTAAGAGAAAAAAAAAATAAATGTGGAGAGGCTAAACTGCCTTCCTTCTCCAACACAATTTCGTCCCTTTCCACAAAAAAAAAAAAAAAAATATCTACTTCCCAACAACTCTCTCTCTAACCTGTCTTTCTCCAAACTTCTACTATCCCATCGTAAATCAGAGACCCTTTCTTTGCTATTCACATCTCCCAATCTAGGGGGACTAGATACTATAACAACACTTCTTTTGTTGTTATTGTAACAACACTAGTCTCCAACCAATAGGAAGCTAGGATTGTGATGACTTTTTATTAGATGAGTTGACCTAGTGTAAAATCAAAACAGGGGTATAATTGTCATTATGAAAAATATGTTTAAATAATAAAAAATAAAAAAATAAAAAAAATAAAAAATAATTTTTTTTATTTTATTTTCGGACCAAAATTTTGGTCGCCGGAATTCGGCCACCGGTCACCGGAATCTGGTTGCCGGTCACCGGAATATGCTATTTTGTCATCGGAATATGCAACCGTTGCCGGAATATGCTCACCGTGGTCGGAATATGCTTACCGGCGTCGGAATCTAGTCATCGGGACCGGAATATGCCTATCGGCGCCGGAATCTACTCACTGACGGTCATCGGAGTTTGGTCAACGGGTTTCGTTGACCGGTCAACGGTCTTCGTTGACCGGTCAACGGTCTTCGTTGACCGGTCAACGGTCTTCGTTGACCGGTCAATGGCCAACGACCACCGGATGTTATGGTCTGCATTGTGAGATTTATGGTTTGGTTTCTCACATTTTTGTATGCCTTTTGTGGTTTGCTTTATCGTGTTTATGGTTTGCATTGAGAAGTTTCAGGTTTGCTTTATCGTGTTTGTGGTTTGCATTGAGAAGATTCTGGTTTGCTTTCAAAAATTTTGTGGTTTGCATTGAGGGGTTTGTGGTTTGTTTTAGGAGATTTGTGGTCTGCATTAGGACGTTTCTGGTTTGTTTTTGTGGTTTGCTTTATCGTGTTTATGGTTTGCATTATGAGGTTTCTGGTGTGTTTTTGAAAATTCTGTGGTTTGCTTTGCGAGGTTTCTGGTTTGTTTTAATAGATTTTTGGTCTGCATTAGGACGTTTCTGGTTTGTTTTTGTGGTTTGCTTTATTGTGTTTGTGGTTTGCGTTATGAGTTTTCTGGTGTGTTTTTGAAAATTTTGTGGTTTGCTTTGTGAGGTTTCTGGTTTGTTTTAAGGGATTTGTAGTATGGATTGAGAGGTTTCTGGTATGCTTTTTTGGGTTTGCTTTATCGTGTTTGTACTCTGTATTATGAGCTTTCTGGTGTGCTT